ACCTATAAAAATAATTATCTTTGCAATCGTTCACACTTTATTGATGAAACTTTACAAAAATGTTTAACTAATTGTCGTTATTCATTACCCAAAATTTCAGTTCAATCCGTCTGGCGCAAAAAAAGTCCATTTTTTCAGCTCTCTCATAATGCAGTTCTCAAACTGATGGTTTTATTTTAGGGTTTTCCTTCGATGGTTCGAAAGTGGATGGACGGCTTTGTTTCTATGGTTTTAGCCTTTATGGTTTTACTTCCATAGTTTTTCTTTTATACTTTTGGATTTCACGGTATTTTTTCACCGTAAAGGCAGTTACATAGAACTACTCTCGTTTCGTCCGATTTTTTTTAATTAGCTCTCATTTCGTCTCTTATATTTTCTATTATTATATATATTTATAGGATACTTACATTTTTGTTCTTGAACATTAAGCACAATTGATCCCGTTCACTCATTTTAGCGAAAAAATGCACAAATGATCTCGATTTTCCTAATAATTTAATTATTTATATAATAACACAACTGAATCAAGGAAAAAGTTAATTTTTTTCTTGAATAACATAACTGATTCCGTAAAATTAGCAAATCATGGTACCGTCTTCCAATCTGAGGCTCATTGAGCAGCTATGTGGTCTCACTTTAATCACAGGATTTAATTGCACAAAACATTGATATTATGAAATAGATTTCATAAAAATAATTCATATGTAGCATCAGACGACTGTTTTGCTTTCAATCGAAATTTACATAATGGATATTTTCGATATTCTGAACAAATATGTGCATAACATAATCCATAATAGAGTTGTTCTGTACGTTTTTTACATATATTATTTTCTTTGATGATTATTAATAACTCATCTTCATCTTTTCATACAAATCAATCTTGCCATATTCGGACAGATATGTTGATAACAGTGTATTTTCGAAGTAACAATTATGCGCTGTGAGAAATATTACTTTTATAAACGTTTTTATACTTTTCAACCCATGACTTGTTAGTTTTCTCGGATCAATTATGTTATTCAAGAAACAAAATAGCTTTTTCCTGGATCAGTTATTTTATTATATAACTAATTAAAAATTATTAGAAAAATCAGGATCAATTGTGCTTAATTTCCGGGATCAAAAATGTATTATAACTATCTATTTCTACCAACTGTCTACTAATCAATGTTAATATAATTAATCAAAAGCGTGTGTTTCATTTACTATTTTATTTCCAATTTACATGAAAAAGGTAGCTTTACAGTATTAACGCATGTGCTACATTTAATTGCAAGTTCAGTTCCAGACAAAGCACCATTCTCATATCTTTCAAAATATTCCTTCAATTTATTATCACAATTATCACAATTATCATTGATTTTGTTACGTTTTCCTGTTTTTCTTAATGATTCTGTGTAACATCTATGATTATATTAATTCCCTCCCTTCAATGCATCGACGAACTCATAAATATGTGGATGCACACCAAAATGTTGTTTTAATCAATTGTGAAAACCTTCACTGTAAAAGTGTGAAAACCTGTAGTTTAAAAACTATCTGTTTCATGTAACTTGTAAATAAAATAGTAAATACTTATACTGTTTTAATTAGTTATATTAATATTGATTAGTATACAGTTGATAGAAAGAAATAGATAGATATAAGATAAATTGAACAATAGAAAATATAAAGACGAAACGCAAATATGTAGTATTATATTTTTATCGACCTAAGGAACGGAATAGACGACTAACGACTGATTGACGAAATATATTTTTATGCTTCCTAAATACACAGCATTTTTGCCTCACAATAAATTTCTCAAGTATCAATACTTTTATTAGAGAAAGCACAATAGTTACATTCTTTTAAATACTTCGCTAAAAAAACATCACTTTTCACTGAACCCAGGGTTTACACTCAATGGACAAGAGAATTCCAGATGGACTCTTATGCACATTGTATATTTTTTCCTCTAACGTGTTTTTGTTAGCAGGATCACGTCTAAAAATCAAATCAGTGGCTGTCTAGCAAACTCTGAAATATAGCGGCTATTACTGGTCGAATGATAAAGAACCAAAGACTTCGTTATACATGGCGTCGCCGTGTTCAATAGGATAACTTCATATATCCCGAGACTGACTAGTACTTGATCAAAAGTGCCCCAGAAAAAATGCTATCTGACAAAAGTTTCCTTCATCGCTTGAGAAACTGTTACTCTGAACTTCATTGAAAATATTTCTTTTTTACAGGCACCGAGGACTGAACCGAACAGAAGGACTAGTGTTTCTAACAGGAATCTGAGACGGTGTGTAAGCATATACGTTGCTCCCAAGCTCACAGTGTACGCTTGCACTCTGTTTCTTTAACAGTGTGTAGCAAGGTGCATCAGACCCCAAAAAATCAGACTTTATATGGAAAGGAACAACGTTATTAGTCTTGTAGCTCTTGAACAACTTTCTGACTGTTTTTTCGAACTAAACAAAGTCTCCACTCTAGAGTGAACATATACAGAAGAACAACAGAGTGTTTTTTACCCCGTCTCACAGCTATAGCTTGAGCTATAGTTCGAGCCCGGTTATCTTTTAGTAAAACCAATCTTTTAAAAACGCTCCACAGTCAAGAAATGCATAACTTTGTCTGTGTAATTAATTGTACACGAACAAATTGTACTTTTCTGATGCCAAGTAAATACTATCGTAAGAAATTGGTTGATGTTAATCGTCATAGAAGTTTGCGTGTGATCATACCGTTTCTGTTGTCAAATGAATGTTCCGAGTGAATGAAGATTTCTACTCTAGAAAAGCAATCATTTCATCGAGACTGGGACTGATCTTCCCAGATCTTGTTTACAACGTGTGCGCAGTGATGCATATCGTTTGTTTTCGCCGAATGTAAAAGCGCTTTCAAGGAACATTGCTGTGATAGGTTTATAAAAAGAATGGATCACCAGCCCAAAAGATAAATTTTTTTCTAATGTAAGATAATAAAAAACCTAACGTTTGATTGAAATAAAAAGACAAATTTTGCACTTCAGTGCATTCAGCTGAAGCTACAATAAAAATGTCTTCGGGTGTAGAGGGTTAAGGCTTTTGATAAAACTATTATAACTTTTGATCCAAATATCGCTAACATCTACTAGACGCCTCATCATATCCGAAAATATTTTTTCTTCAACTTTTTATCTGCAACAACCATTTTTTTTGCAGTGTACGTGTATAGAAGTCAGATGTTTCGAATGATCAGTTCTTCAGGATTTGCTAAGAGCTGTCTCAAAACTTGTCAGAAGCGTTTGTTTCAATCAAATGCACCATGGATTCTAAGAGTAGATACTCTCGGTCACCCGACCTTGTGCTCATCTCAATATCTGCTTTATACATAAAATCTCGTATTTCCAAGGATAGGCCACCATCAAAATAAAAATGAGAATAAGTCACTAATTAACAAAATTATTTTCCGTTTAGAATATTTTGAAAGAAAATTCACATTTGACATGTATTTTTGTTACAATTTGGATCTTGAGAGGCTTCGCTTTCATGCCTTATACTAACCTTCATACACACTATACATTTGAACCGTAACATTTCCTCCTCCCCCTGACTAAGGGGTTTGAAGTACATTATCAAAACTTTTTCGACTCATATACGACAAGAATGAGACCTAACGACTCTGCAGGAAAACAATGATCCGAAACACGTTTTTGAGAAAACCATTTAGTGTTTCAGCGACAAAAATTTGATTGAGTGTATTAAATAAGAATACAGGTTTTTTTTCTGTGAAACAAAGAAACTTGGAGATATAATGAAAACAAATTCTTCTCCATTAGACTTTGGACTTTTTCATTCATTGTAGAGAAGTTTTAAGTTTGAAATCTTATTTGGCATGGTCCTTTATTCATAATTAATGTTTGAAGACGACCGAGAGTTTTGTTAATATAGAAGTAAAATTAATTATTAATAAATCGTATTCCACAGAGGTTTTTTGCATTAATAGGTCAAAAATATTTTTTTTAAGAAGAGAAAACTCGAAAAAGAAAACAAGAGAAAATATTTTTATTATTACTATTTTTATGAGCGGTTTCAAAGGAAAAATAAGTATCCAAAACAAAGAACGCAAACCATATGTGTAACAAACCAGAATACTAGTGAATAAAGTTCACTAATAAGACAGCACGATATATTCATTCTAAGATGGCATATGAAAATATTTTAATACCGACTGTGAGAAAAAGATTTATACTGATATAATATAGTATAGAAGATAGTAAAAGAAAAATTTTGTTTTCCTCTTCAGTTTTACTCAATTATTGTAGATACGACATACAAAAGAGAGATCTTTTTTCATCTCGTTTTTTTTCTTATGTTATACTATTGATAATGAACAAGGGATATCCTAAAAAAAGATCATATAGACACAGATGCATCATATAAATCAGTCAATCGTTTGTTATGCTCATTTTTCTTCTTGATTTAATCAAAAATAAACTAGATATCTATTTTGGTTAGTATATACACACTGCACTAAAACTTACTACTATAATACGATTAATCTGTCTCTGAAATAAGATGAAAGAAAAAAATATCGAAGATCAAAGAGATGGAATGAAAAAATAAGATTATCCCATCTACTGGTACTAATCAAATTTTTATTCTCTCGTTTTCTCTTAATGTACTATTTATCTTCAATCATAGATATGTTTTTGTTCTTTTCGTTTTCCTTAATGGTTAGATTAGTTAAGAAGATAGAGATTCTCGTCTATTTTCTCTCCGGTATAAAAAAAACCTTACTGAAATACAATTTTTATTTTCTATTCTATCATCTAATTGAAAACCAACAACAATAATAATAACCCGACAACTTTTAAAAACAAAAAGAAAAAAAAGAGATTACTCTTTTTGTTTTTATATTTTTTGTCTTTCCGCTAAATGCATCATTTAATTGTGCTTATTATACTTTGTCGTTGACATATATCAGCTAAGGTTTAATTTGTTAATCACCGACCGAAGAGAACGATTATGTTACGTGATATTCATCCGTTTAAAGCTCTATCATCACGAATTGCTGCGAATGATAAACAAGCGGTAAGTATAAACATTTGTTGCTTCCCTCTTGTTCAAAATATGAACATTCATAGTCGATTTATTATTAAACGGTAGTATGATTATCTTTTCTTTACAAGTGACGTACTTCTCACTAACTTTAAAAATAACCAAATAATTTGTTACATTAAAATATGTACGTCATCAGATTTAACTATACCATACTCTACTTGGAAGTTCAATATAGACTAATGACAAACGCATAACTAAACCTTTTAAACTGTATATTATTACTCTGCGTTATTATTCAAAGACGAACTATTTCATGATTTTGTTCATTTTTTTTCTTTTACCTTGTCTCTAATAATTATTGTTGACTGCATTATTATGACGTATATCGTAGATTATGACGTCTATCCATTGACGATGTCGGTTACATCATTTATACTAGTTGTTAATAGAGATAATGACAGTATATATTATAATGGCTTATTCTTTGTAATTTTTAACACGATTCTTATGATACATAGACGAAATTCACACAATTAAAGTTCTTGTTACGGTTGTGCGTGTTTGTATGTTATTATATTAAAAGAGAATACTCCGTGTACTATCAATGATTATGACATAATACATGCATAGGAAAATAATTAAGAAATCATGATTAAATGGATGAGAAAAACGAACATAAATATTTATACACACCATTTAAACTATGTTCTAAAATTCGAGACTAAAACAACTCATTCTATTTATATATGGTAAGATTGATAATAAAACTCATTTATAGTTTAGCATATCGCTAATAAAAATGTTATGTTGAAATTTTTCTTAATCTAGAAAATGTTCATTTACTAATGCATAAGATTCAATGTTAAGTTCGAGTCAAAGTCTAAATTATATAACGTTAACTATTATTTTATAGGATATTAATCGTGAAATTCAAAATTGTCGAGAAGAACAATCCGAACGATTTGATTTAAGTAAAAGTAGTGTAAGTTGTTCGTTGTTTTTTTTTTGATATTTTATTAAACAGAAAATATGCCGGAATTTCACACTAATTATATTTATTTTAATTTTTAGGTCACTATTTTACCAAATACAATCAAAGATGTAAAGAATATCATTTCTAATTGAGTTAATTAACTGTCATTTATATTTTCTATTTCTTGTAGTTGACACATGTTCGTGAACTCTATTTGTACAGTAATCGAATTCAACAGTTACCACCTGAAATCGGTAATCTTGTCAATTTAAAAGTATTGGCATTAAGTGAAAATTCATTGACCACTTTACCAGATTCAATGGATCGTTTAGTACAACTGAAAGTATTAGATTTAAGACATAATAAATTTGCTGATGTATGTTGATTAAATCTTCTTTTTGATTGTTGTTTTTTAATACGTATTACCGAGCCTAATTTTATTTTCTCTTTCTAGATTCCTGAAGTTATTTATCGCATAACAAGTATAACAACACTTTATCTTCGATTTAATAGAATTAAAGAAGTATCAGAACAAATTCGAAACCTTTCCGTATGTTTATTATATTTCATTTAAGGCTCCCTTCCTCCCACTCAGAAATGATGATTTTGTATAAAAAAAATCAATTTGGAGACAAGCACACGGAAAGATAGCCTGGGATGCCTACTTTTAGAATCTATATCGCTTTTGGGCCTATAACATTTAAGCATTTTCCTACATGTCATAAATAGACCAACCAATGAACAGCGTTTTCTCTCAAAACACGTTTTGTTCGAACATGCCCAGTATGGAACACTTTTTTTAAATATACCTCAAGCTAGAAATCTCGGGTTGGTTTTATTTTAAACTAGATACCTAACTGCGTGAACTGATGGAAATCGATTTTTGAATCAGGCCTTAGTTTCCAAGAAAATCAAGGATCTCTGGAAAATCCGAAAGGTTTTTTTCGGTTGTAGTGGCTCTTTATAAAACCATTGAAGACCTGACTCAAAAATCTAGTCTCATTAGTCTACGTAGTTAGGTGTCTAGTTTAAAATAAACCCAACCCGAGATCTCTAGCTTAAAGTATATTTAAAAAAAGTGTCCCACAGTGGAGGGTGGTTATTTGATCTTGGACTCCCGGAAAATCCCGGAACGGTAAGAGATAACGAGGAAAAAAAAATTTCGTAACCACACTTTGATATGGCAAACATTTGCTAAAAGTGTCATCAAAATCGGATGAAAGAAAAAAAATAATATTTCTTATATATTTATTTGTATTTATTCTTGTTTTTTTTTTAAAATAGAATCTTCAAATGTTGAGTCTTCGTGAAAATAAAATTCGTTATCTTCCACCAACTGTTGGACAACTTGTACAATTATTAACATTAGATGTAGCACATAATCATCTTGAACATTTACCAAATGAAATAGGAAATTGTTCGAATTTAACAACTCTCGATTTAACTCATAATGAATTAGTCGGTTTACCAGAGTTGATAGGAAATTTAAAAAATCTTAGTCGATTATTAATAAGGTAAGAAAAGAAAATTGATAAAAAACAAAACAAAAATTATATTTATTATGATTATTTTACTTTATACATTAGATACAATCGTCTATCAGCCATTCCATCATCATTAGCAAATTGTTCAAAATTAGATGAATTTAATATTGAAGGAAATAATGTATCTCAATTACCTGTAAGTATATCTTTGATTTTAATTCATACTATCTCTATTTTAAAAAGAATTTTTTTTATTAATTCTAGGAGGATCTTCTTTCAAGTCTTGTTCATTTAAATACAATATCTTTAGCTAGAAATAATTTTAATTCATTTCCACTTGGCGGGCCAACACAATTCACATCAGTTCATGTAAGACATATAGAAATATGATTTTATTTAATTTTTGATTTTTGATTTCCTATTTTTCTTTATTTTAGTCTATTAATATGGAATGTAACTCAATCGATAAAATTCCATTTTCCATATTTTCTCTAGCAAAATATTTATCAAAATTAAATATGCGTGAAAATGCATTAACATCATTACCATTAGGTAAATAAAACTATACTTTTTTTTTTATTATGTCATTTTTTTTTACATTTTGTTTTATTTAGATATTGGTAGTTGGACAGCTATGGTTGAATTAAATTTAGCCACAAATCAATTGACAGTTATACCCGAAGATGTTAAAAATTTACAAAATCTTGAAGTTTTAATTATGAGCAATAATCATTTAAAAGTAAGTATTAATAATTAACACTTAATATTTTTTTCTTTCGTTTTCATTTTAATTAGAGAATTCCACCATCATTAGGGCAATTACGAAAACTAAGACATTTAGATTTAGAAGAAAATAAACTTGATTCACTACCTCAAGAAATTGGTATGCATAATGAAAAATCTATTCTCTTTATAAAATAGAGAAAAAAAATATAACTATACAACTTTTTAAGGCTATCTAAGAGAATTAACAAGACTCATTGTTGCTTCGAATCAGTTGTTACAATTACCACGATCAGTAGGGTATGTAGAAAATAGCCATAATGGATGTTACAGTCTCCTCGTATCGGTTTCGAATGAATACTTGAAGACTGATAAAGAGATATACATAATACTTGTCCAAATATATTCCGATATTGATAATCACTAGTGCAATCGGAAGTCCGCTTTTCATATTATAGTTCGACAGGAAATATGACTCGATATCGTTAAACATAGAAGAATCTTTGATTTCTATTGATGATTACGATTTGAGAAAATAAGTAAACACTCTCTTCTCAGTCACTTTATCAACTCATTTGCGAATTTCTTAAAAAAATCCTATGAATTTATCTATAGATCTTAGTCTACTCATTTAGATCACTGACAAATCTGACACATTTGAATGTTGGTGAAAATAATCTAACATCATTACCAGAAGATATAGGTGAATATCAATAAAATCATTTGTTTTAATAAAACTCTCTCTCACTATATATATCTATATATATATTTAGGTCAATTAGAAAAATTAGAGCAATTGTATATAAATGATAACCAAAATTTAGATGTATTACCATATGAATTAGCATTATGTACAAATTTACAAATAATGAGTATTGAAAATTGTCCATTAAGAAGTCTGCCACAAGAAATTGTCGCTGGTGGACCATCTCTTGTTATACAAGTACCTCAATAGATAAAATTAAAAATTTTTATACTCTACGATTTTTATTTTTAGTTTCTCAAAGTTCAAGGACCATTCAATTTAAATTAGATAATATTTTTACCATAAAATATTATATTTCCATTGTAAATATATTTATATAAATACATATTTTTCTTTCTCATCGAAATAGACTGAATTCTTGTTGGCATTGTATATTAGACAAACCGTATCATAGTCATAAACAAAGTTCTCTATTATGTGAATCTAATATATCTGTCAATTGGTGTCTTTTCTTTATATTTATATTTATATGTGGTGTATTTTCGACCGGTTTACTACAATTTTATGTTTTTTTATTTCTTTATTATGATTATACAGTTCTTTCGTTTCTTTTGTTCTGTTTTTAGCTAATATTTTTAAAAATTTTCTTTTTCGTTTAATAATTGAACAACATCTATATATTTTTTTTCACCTGTAAAATACGAAAATGAAAATCATTCTAAAAGGTAATTTGTAATAGTTTTATGTAAGTGAGATTCTTTAATAAGAAAAGCTGAACAACAATGTAAGAAGTTTGTGTGAATAATATATCAATGATACAAAAACAAAAAAATAAGTCTAATTCACTTTATCTTCCATTTGAGTGTATTCGATTAAAATGAAAAGAAGTGGCGTGATAGCGTAGGTGTACTTCTAATATTGGCTTACATTTTCAAGATAAATAATAGATTTTTAATTCTACTAAAATTAATATGTTTAATTGTGGACATTTTGTCTTCGAGTACTTGTACAACAGCATACAAAACTTAACTCATAAATATTCGTAGCCAATATCATTATTTATTATCAGTTAGTTGAATGTTAGAAAAACCAGTATACTTAATCAGTGAATCGATCAATTAGTCAATATTATTTTAGCCTGATGTAGCGATGAGGAAATGGCAAAAGTTCACATGAATTTCTAACATGATTTCTAAACAAAAAACAAGAAAAACATACCAAAATAAGAATCGAAAAAATGAAATTAAATGGCAACAAGAGAGTACGTTTGAAGGTTCGAGTTAAAAATACCACTATGATATTTCTGGATAGCGTATTTTACTCCTTCATAGTCTTCAGAACAGTGATTTATCTAGCGGGTAGGCCGGATGGGCGGCGCCCACTCGAAATTTCGATTTGTCCACCCAGAAATAAACAGCTGATTTCGTTTTTAGCAAAATTTTTTTAGTCAACAGCTTCTACAAAAATTTCAACCGTCTACTCGAAAAACGAAACCTAGATAAAACACTGCTTCAGAAGAAATGAAGAATATATTGTTTTCCGTTTAAAAATGAAAATTTCCCATACACAATAATTTCTAGTTCTTAGTGGTTTAATCAGATTAGAACTTGATTTCGAGGTTTTTGACGCCCCACAGTATGTTGAGGTTTTCTGCATGAAAACTCGGTCAAATCGAAAAAATAAGAAAGGGTTAAATTCCAGTCTGGGGCTGTTTGACAGATAAATAATTGGAGAACGGTTTCTGTTCTAGCAAAGAAAGTTTCTACTATTCTCGAATAATTAAGATGGTTTGATCTTCTAGATTGGTCGTATTGGATAAGGTTTAGTCTAGATCAAGGAGAAAGGCCGTTAAGGATTTTGAGAAAATGTATAAGACGAATGTATTTTCGTCTTCTTGAAGTAGAGGCAGATTCAATCTCCTAACTAAATCTCTCTCTTTGTGTTCTCATAAAGGCATGATTGTAGCCCGCAAAATTCTGAGTAAAATGAGACATCTCCCAGCTCTACACGACTTTTCTTTGTAAAGTTATAGAATTTACACAAAAAGCCGCAAAAATGAATTTCTTCTTATTCCTGTAGCTTTGAGCTGACAATGAACATTTAGAGTTTTTGTTGTAAACTCTATAACTTTGCAAAGAAAGATCGTGAAGAGCTGGGAGATGTATCATTTTAATCAGAAATTTGCGAGCTACAATTATGCCTTACTTAGGGTTTTGGTTATTTTTCAGAGTTCTTGAAAAACTGTTTTTCCAGGAAACTGGATCTTCAAGAGTCATGGACACAAACCCTTTTAGGGTATTTACTAACTCACTGAGATTTATCGATCTACGTACAAATCATTGGAATCGGAAGGTTACATCTCGAAAGGTTTCCTCGTAAGTTATAAAAATAAATTTTAGACAAAAGAATTCACCTCCTTGGGCGCTTCAAATGTTTACTTGGTGTATTACACCATTGGTCACGAAATGAATCGTGTACGTGTTACAATTTAATGAACGGTCGTTAGTTTGGATAGATGATCGACAAAGTTGTCCGTTATCATAGGCAATTGAACAATAGTCAGTCCATTACTAGCCAACAGACTACATGTTTATTCGTCGATCATCTGAAATGTGTTACTGATTGATGTGTGAATTATTAAACCCCCGATTAGGGAAAAGTATTGTAATGCTCTGGAGAAAATATACACAACTAAAGAGAAGATCGTTCATTTAAAATAAAAAGCGTCTTGTTTTACAATCACCAACGGTGTTTATTATCTCAAAACTGATTAATATATTTATCACATTATGAAATGTTTTTTTTTTGTTTTCTTCTACTAGTTTTGATAATGTTACAAATGTCGATATAAAGTATTTATTCATGTTGTAAAAATAATAATCAACAATAAACTATTTTGAAAAAAGGTCAAGTTTCTACAAATTATCTTATATTATGGTACAATTTTGATCATTTTATTTCTTTTATCTGCAGAATATACACACTAATATTTCAAAAATAAATGTCAAATATTCTCGCTCTATCGGATGATCAAACATCAAACACTGATGTCATTTACCTATTTAGTAATAATATTTTTACAGAACGAAAAGAATAAAAATGAGACTTATCATTGTTGGAATAAATTAATACCATTTAACTTGAATATTTTGTTCGAAGAAGAAGTATACAAAATCAGACAATTTACACCATAGAAAATCTGCACATAGTTTTCTACGTAAAAAAAGGTAAAAGCAAAACATAAATTTTCTATAGAAAAATATTTTTTCAGAGAAGTTCCAAGATTAAAATGAAATTATCAATTTGTATTATTCAAATACTATATGGTCAACGATTTGATTCATATACAAATATTTAAATTAAACAAATTTTCAATAATAACAACAACGACAAAATTAAAAACCCGAATTGTCTAATAGAACTAAACAATGATTTAAAATGAGACAATGATAAAAAAACAACAACAACAACAACATTATTCCTCATTGTTAAATGGTGATCGAGAAAAAATCGTAAGAGAAAGTTCACAATAGTAAGATTGAATTATGAAGATTATAGACAGATTTGTACATTTATACTGGCAAAAAAAAGAGTCAAACAGTTATAATTGTTGTCATTAATCAAACACGGTAAGTTTACTAAAAATGTCTTTTAGCATCATAAAACGATTTAAAGAAAAGATTCCATAGAAGTTCTACACACAAAGGCATCTTGATTGAACAATGCCCCTGTTTGCAGAACTTTTATGTATACTTTTATTACAATATCAATTTGTTACAATTTTTATTTTCCAAATTAAATTGACGTATATTTTAGCAGCAAAAATACATAGTCATACGAAACGACTGCTCAATTAATCTATTTTAAAAATATGAGAAAATGTTTTTTTGTTTTTTTTATTTTTAATAATTTTTTAATCAAAATTGTCAATCTTTAATTACAATAATAATAATGGAAAGGAGACTACTATAAGTGGTATAGATCAATGAAAAAATATTCTTATAAATTAGAATTATCCTTGTTTATGAGCATGAAAAACAACGATATGACAATGAAATTTCATATTTAACGCAACAAAATTGGTTTTTGTGTGTTTTCAATAGTTTTAGTTTAGAATATTATAATGGAATATTTTTTCGCTTGTATTCTGAAAGAATAACTGACTACTCAGTTAAGTATTTGTGAAAAACATCTTTGACAGATTTTATTAGTCAATTTTCATTGTAAAAAATGCTCAACGTGGGAATAGTTATATTATTAATATGGAAAATTCAACAGATCAAGAACAATTAGTACGATATATGAATGATCTAATAGAAAATGGGCTTCACAAAAAGTGTAGACCATATATCTATCACAGAAAGATGTGAGATGTGTATGAAAAAAGTTTTTCGTAAAAATTTACATAAGATTCTACAAAAGGGCGCATGAAAATATCGTTTTTATTTCTTTTTATTAGATAAGTTCATGCTGAAAGCAACAATAAAACGAAAAGCACACTATCTTATTAAACTGTTTAACTCTTTAATCTAATTAGACAAGAAAAATTTAAACCAAACATACTAAGATTATATTGAATGAATTTTATTGTTCATTCTTGTCTATTCCTGTCTAACTTCATCTAAATCTTACCACTGATTTTTTCCAAATATAGTAAAACATTTAGGATTTATATACGTAATATTTTCATCACTGCATAAATTAATTTATTTTTGTAGTGAAGAAAATATTAGTAGAAATCCGGCACATATCAAAGAAATCAGAGTAAGTTGGTATCGAGGTGCTACACAATATTACAAGGTGTAAAGAAGAAACTTATTTATTATTATATTTTTTTCTGCCCTATTCTGTTCCTTTAGCATGTTAGATCAAACACTTTTTATCAAACTGGTCAAAACAACATGGAATCCTCTGTTATAATCAATCCATTTGGAACTTACTCATCAATTTAATGATGACAGATTTGATTCAAATGAACATGGGACTTCACTTTGATTTAACCTTAAATGTGAGAGTGCTCGTTAAATTAAGCAGACAATATATTAATGGTAAAAGATAAACTCAATTGATCATAGTTTTTATCTCACAGAAATGGCCATTTGTCTTAAATATGACGAAGTTAAAGAAGTACAGTTGTTTTCTAATGTTTTTATATTTTATACTCAAATATTTATCAGAGATGGGATCTGTTCATGTTTTACTGAAATCAAATTGATTTACGCTGATACCATCTCTGATACTTCTGCAAGAAGATGCTACATTTATCTAACAATACTTACATTATAGCACAATTTACTTCTAATAAATTGAATGTATTTGAATACTATAAAACACGCACATCAGTTAAGAAGGCTAATTTTAAATTAGCATTCATTTTACTACAAAAGAAAATCTCACAATGGTAAGAAATAATATAAAATTTTTACATCAAATACAAATTTGAGAGAGCTTTTTAAAAGTTAGACATTTAAACTCTGTGAATTTGAGCTTCCATTTGACTTTATTAAACAAGAAAGAAAAAAGTTATCTTAAAATTCATTCTTATTTATTCGAAGTTATGTTGATTTCATTTCAAAGAAAAAAAGAATAAACAAATAATCAAACACATGCATGAAAATACAAAAAAAAGAAAATATGTTTTTCTCTATATACATACTGTGAAAGGAAAAAGAAAGAGATCATATGACTGTCTTAAAAACGATTGATCGTTTACAATACACTATTTGTTTTAATAATTATTTTGTTACATTTTTCATACAATGATAGAGAAAAAAAGAAATTTGAAATATGCAAAATGAATATTTGAGATATTTATCAAATCAGTCAAAAATACAAAAGAGAACAAATAGAAATAGTCAGAAAAAAAATTGAAATTTACGGTGAGAAAAATAATAATAATTATTGTACAGTCTAAGTATCCATTGCTTCCATTCTTGAACCAATATTACTGTCGCCTGCTCTCAACGTAGACGTTGTATTTGTTGAATGAAAACCATTTGCTGAACCATTTGTTGTTGCCGAAATATACATTAAACGATCTCTAATAGTAATAAAACGTCGTTTAAATTCAATACCATCTCCCTGAAATTAAAAATAATTCATGAACAATATAAAATTTTATTAATATTTTGACTTTACCTTTGATAGACGAAAATCAACCATAATTAAATCATTGAGTTTAAATATGTTTGCTTTAAATATTAATTCATTTCGTCGTCTATCTTGTGAAAATACCGTTAACTAGAAGAAAAAGTAGTCATTTACTCCTAATTCGTTATCTAACATTGTTATGTGTTTACTTGATTAGCAGCCGTTGTTTTCCAATTATAACCCAATTGATCAAATAATTTTGTCAAATGAGCAATTGTTTCATTAAATGATGATGTTAAAACAATACGTGTCATACGATGTACGAGATGTTGAACTGGATTCTAATAAAAGAAAAACAACAGTAATTAAGTTTATTCTAATCAAGAATTAGTATAACAAGAATTCTTACTTCTCCCATGGCAGATAACGGAATCATTTCTGTATTCAGAACAAGATCATCAAGTCTAACTGGTTGTGAAAGACTATTTATCCATGCAGCATCTGATTGTTCATGAATAAGTGACGAACTTGTGTTCGGCTGTGTTAATGAAACGCACTGTATATCATTTGATGGTCTTAAACAAGTAATAATAATGTTTATTACATTCTTAGTCAATCATATCATACCAACTACGTTTGTTTCGTTCGAAATATATCAGATAAAATTATCTTATTACTTACATAGCATGTTTCTTATAATCCGAATTTGGATCTCCTAACACGCATTGAAACAAAAAAAAGAATTTTAAATATCTTTTATTTTTCAATTTAAAATCTACCTTGTGTAAATGCTTTGACAAACCACGGATGTGCTTTTATTTCTCGAACAACTGCACGTTTTTGTGGATCATGCTGTAAAATACGACGCAATAAAGCTGAAAATAAACGATTATAATCCAATTTAATTTAAATTTTGATTTCTTAAAACCTACCAAGAACAAGATTGTCGATTTTTCTCCATGGATTACTGAAATAGTCACCCGATGCCCAACGTAAATATTCTGGATTTTGTGGTGATGGCTGATCCCATGGTAACTCTAAAACAAAATAATATATCGTATCATGTGAGACAACTACGAAGAGAATAAATCTTACCTCCAGTTAACATAGCACTTAAAATAATTCCACATGACCAAATATCAACTGGTTCACCACGATAAGGAATTTTAGCCCAAACCTTTCAAAGCAACGCAATCTATTAATTTCTTTTACGTGAAATAAGAGTATGAGATAATCAAAAATACCTCTGGACTCGAATACGGTGCCGTACCACAATATGTTGTTAGATTTCGTTCGATATTGTTATGTCGAAACAATGTTGCTAATCCAAAATCACAAATTTTCAAAACATCTAAACGAGAAATGATTAAAAAAGTTCATAAATAAAATGTAGCATATTTTATTACCATCATTAGTTACCAATAAATTTTCTGGCTTTAAATCGCGATGTGCCACACCATGTAAATGAAGATATTCCTAGGAGAAAAGAATACTATGAATTATTTTCGATGAAAACGTGCTAAAATACGACATACCATTCCCTCAACAATTTGTTTAAAATAATGTTGTGCGCGATCTTCAGACATACCAACATCGGGCTCTAAAATAAATAATTTTGAATAGATTCATCTTTAAAGAAAAGAAAATCGAGAAAAATGATATGTACAAACCAATTTTGTCGAACAATTCTCCACCAGCCGCATATTCCAAAAATAAATAATAGTTTGATTGTTGTTGTTTATAACCGTAAAAACGAACGATATTCTCATGTCTCAATGAACGATGTAAATCAATCTATTAAAATGAAAATTAAATGAGATCTATATGAGTATTATACTCTTTGCGTAACAGATATAAAATTTTCGCAAAAACAAGAATTTTTTAAAGAAGATAACTTTAAAAAGTTTAACTACGTTTTCATTTACCTCTTTTCTGATAACAACATCATTTCCATGTAATCGATTCAAATCAATAACTTTCACTGCTGCAAATTCGTTTGTATGGACATTTTTAGCTAGTACAACTCTAAAAGACAAGAAAAATTATAAAGAAATATCGACAGCTAGAAATAATACGACAAATAGAATACGTACTCTCCGTAGGCACCTTCGCCCAATGTTTCTGTAAATTGCCACATGATAAAAATCAGAACTATCTAAAAATAAAAACACAAGCAATAACATCCACCGTCTTGAAACAACTTCCATTCTGATTAAAGTGGATGCTGTGTATAATCCTTTTCTCTAAAAACGAGATAGTAGAAAACTGTCAGAAAATAAATTATCTCTGAATAGAAGAAAAAACAGAAAGATCCTAGGATGCTGAATATTATAACGGACAGATGAACTAAAAAGCTAAGTCCAGTGCAGTGTTTTTAATAAAATTTTTTGTCATGATGGAATCAATGTCGTAGTAGAAGTTTTATATTTAGAAGTTGCAATTCAAACAGAATTCACCCAGACTTACAGTTAGAAATTTAAAAGTCACGGTGCAAATTATAATAGATCTCAGTTTTTCATGTGTTATTCCCATTGCGCTATTAAAAATCCTGTCCCAGTAAATGGCAAATTCAGTACCAGACGAATACTTCTGAAAAAGATTTTGCTAGATAAAAACCCATCTCAAGCGAAACTTTCAAAAACCTATAGCGATGACATCCTCATCTTTCCCATGATTCTGCTACCCCTGTCGAGTCAATATTATTTTTCTATTTTTTTCCGATTACTATTTATGTTTATAGAGAACGTTAACTACAACTTTTCAGTATTCGTTATCTATTTTTTAATTTTACATATTATACTCTAATTAATTATATGTTCTTCACATTTATTCTACTTTTGCCTGACGAAGGCGTCTTTGATGTTTAAACGTAACAATAAAATAGAATAAGAAAGAGTATTCAGAAATAACCCAGATTTATACAAGAGGAAATGTATGCAAAGCAGTTAATGAATAGGATTTTTTTCGAATGAATGACTCAAGTCAAACAGTCGAGTCAACGTCTTCCAATTTTCGAGTCAGAGTCAAGTCTGAGTCATTAAAGAAATGCGACCCGAGCCCGAATCATGACTTGGACTCGCCCAGTACTGCCAGGGGCGTAGCTAGCATGTCAGAGCAGGGGAGTGGTCCTTCCCAAAACTTTGGCAGGACCACCAATTAAATGGAAACTCAGCTTCTCCATGCTATAAGACGTATCAAAAATTTTATGCGACGATAGTAAAAACACCCTTTTCTAAAACCAGGGGGGTGGTGACCACCCCCCAGTAACTACGCCTCTGAGTACTGCTGAAAAACATCTCAAAAATCAAGGTTTTCATTTATAGCAGGAAAAGGTCTAAAATAAAATTCAAAAAATTTACCTCTGCAATAGTGCCTTGCGTACCTCTAGTAAAATTTTTAACTCGATTGGATAAAATTTAACGGGGGTCATAATGTGGTCCAATGAAGCCCGGTAGCAAAAAAACAGTTTCGAGGAAAAACGCATTTTGTAAAAAGGTCGTGGAGTGGTCTCATTTTGCAGCCCACACTTTCCTCTACATTAGCCTATGCTCAGCTCAAAATCCGAAATTATTTCAAAAAGCAGGAGGTACTCTTACTTCATTCAGTTATCTGCTTTTCATAGATCGGTACTAGGGACACGAGATTGTTCATTTTGAATCTAAATTACTTGGTTGATCGGCTGGCTAGCTGACACTTCTGTTCATGGTCTTCACACTTTCTCAAATCTTACGTGTTTTCGTCTTTGTCCTACGCGCTAAAACCGTTGATAGGCTGTGTATGAATCAATCGCAAACATGGTATACTAAACCATCCACAAATGCAGTCCATCAGATGTCGCCCTTCTATATCAATATTCTTAATTTCATGCGCTCAAATGCAGACAGAAGCCAAGGCTTTGTTAGTCTGTCGCTTTACAGCCGTCACTGCTGCGCGGAATTTTAGTAAAAATATGAGAAACTTATTCCAGTTTTTTAATTAACCTATAGCTCCCTGTTCTAACATCTTCGCGCCGCCACTATATCTGGGACAATTCTGAATGCTAAGCTTAAGATGGCGTTTCATGGATTTAGAACAAAGTCAGGTCAATATGACTACTTAAGTGTATGTCTAAGATTTTGTTGAAATGAAGAACAAAGCCAACCTTTAACTTAGATTGAGTCAATACACCTAGGAGAGTACACCCAAGAGACGAACTAAAGAGACGACCAGTAAAGCTTGCTCAATTTCTTTTTTAAAATTTAATTCTGATTTCGCAAGTTTGTAGCCCTACTAAAATTGAGTATATTCTGAAATTTTTAGTCTTTAGCGGTGTTTCATTGATCGAGAATAAATTTTTTATGTCGACACATCACTCTATTCCACACGTTTTATGACTTTTTGTATGGTCGACCATACAAAAAGTCATAAAACGTGTGGAATAGAGTGATGTGT